GTGACTTCGTAGCCACATCGTTGAGTAATTCCTTTATTTCTCGTTGTACGTCTAAAATTCGCGAATTCAGTTCGTCTGCTTCTTCGATCTCGTTTGCAATATCACTAACCTCGCAACTATTTATAATTTTTTCGTCCAAATCTTTAACCAGTCTCGTTTTTTCTTTTAGCAAATCCGTTATAGTTGTTAATCTCCCTCGATTTGGTTGTTCGTCCTCGAAAATCGTTCGTGTTTCGTTGATAAGCTTCGTTATAACTGCTCGATTGCCTCCTCTAACGGCTCGAAATCTCGCTAAAATCGCCTTTTCTTCGCTCATTTTTGATTAAATTTCCTTGACAATATGCCCCACGTTGGGCGCCATGTGATAAATATCGAACTCTACGCAAAAACAAACTAAAATATCGTCGAAAATCTCAGGGTTTACTCGTATATAAAACTCGTATAAAAAAAAATATAAAACTACATCACAAAAAAAACATGTGTTCGCGCAACTTGTTCTCAGGGAAGCCTGAGTTCTACCTTTAACTTAAGGTGTCTCTCGCACGTTTTTAACAGTCTTCATAACAACACCACAGCGTCAAGTTCGTCGACCTTGGACGTCAGGGAGCGGAGATTACAAATTAAAAGGTTTGGTATTTTGGTGGAGGGTAACGTAGACTCAAATTTTAAGCGTTCAAGTGTATTAGTTTTTTGTACTGAATAGGAGTATCGTGATGGGGTCGAGTCTGGTAGATCGCTGATCGGGAAAAGCATAGGAATGCATGTGGGAGAGGACTCAAGGGAAATACATGGAGTGGAGCTCTGTTTATGAGGATTTAGTAAAATCTGTTTTGGTGGATCTGGGAGGATAATCGGGGAAAACTGGACGAGGGTAGTGGGATTTCCATTAACGGCCTTGAATAAGATGGGGGTCGCCATGGGTGTAGGCTGTACGTTTGGAGCTGCTGAGGTTGGGCTGTGTGGACGTTTGGTGGCAATGGCACTTGCGCTCGGGATAAAAAAGAGGCAGGTGGCAAATGGCTACTAGTAGTGGTTTTTAATACCGACCTTCTGGGTGGTACCCAAGCGTGGGAGAAATCACATCGATCGTCTTTCAGACAGAAGCCTCTGTTCTGCAAAAAAGGACAGGGGACATTATGTTTATGTGTATTGTGAGATGGTTTAAGATGCTGAAAGTCGCATCGGTCTCCCTTTCGACACCAACCTCGACTCAGCTATTCCTATTTGCATGACGGTTACTTAATTATACAAAAATGCAATGAGCTCAATAACATAAACTCAGACAAAAACATAATACAATGACTTCTGTTTAGTTTCCAGACCATTACTGTACGTCTTAAATTTTCATTTGTCGCGGGATGGTTTCATAAAACTTAACCCTATTTGTACCGGGGATGCGCACAATGAGCGCACCCCTATAAATATTTATCCTGTGCCTGTGCTTTTATGACTTTTAATATTTTTCCTCTGCCGTCATGACTGCGAAAATTATTTTCTGAAAATTCAAAGTTATCGGCACGTTTGACGACATTTGTCAAACAAGGTGTCGGGGCCAAAAATGTGAAAATGTGGTTTGTACAGAATTTTTTGGCTGAATCACCTCCAAGGACATAAATAACATAACATAATTAGAGAACATATAAAGATGGATTATTACACATGATTTTTGAAGTAAAATATCCATAATACATTATATAAAATTGTAAGATATAGTATAATATATAATATAGTATACTATACAATACTTATGTAACATAAAATACTTATTTATAATATTTTTATATCATACAAATAACAAATACACATATTTCATTTGTACCTTCAAGGCATAACATCCGTCCCTGTCTTCGCGCAAATACCAAACGTTTAGGATGCATTATATATTGGACAGTTTCATACAAGAAATGTGCCAATTTAGTATAAAATATTTCGCATGAAATCCCTCAATATTGTCATGATTTTCAAAGTAAATATTAGTAATGGGCGATACTATCGAAAAAGTATCGAAATCATCGATCCTAACAAAAGTATCGATATTTTCGATACTCGAAAAAAGTATCGGTAATTCGATACCACTTGAGCCTGCGATATTTTAGTCAGTATTCCTGACCAATCTCTTATTACTTCATGAAGGCAACAGACAGAAGGCATAAAATGTTGACATGATGCTTTTCTTTAAGAAAAACTTGTAGCTAATTAGCAATATATTTAAGAGCTTTTAAGGAAAACATTAAACGCGTTGATATTGTTTAGATTTAAAATCATAATTGCAAATGTTATGTTTAATTATTTGGCAGGTACTCCAGTTAGAGTATTCTTTGACTTGTTAACATTAATATTCTTGTTTTAAAAGTTATTTTAATAAATGGAAAAAATTGAGTATCGGTATCGATTTTGGTATCAGTATCGACCAAAATTCATGGTATCGGACTGGTATCGTATCGAACCCAAAAAAGCTGGTATCGCCCATCACTAGTAAATATTGTATTTTCAAAACTATACTGCAGGCTCGTAGCCCACCCGCGTTACACTTCATGTAACACATAGTATATTGGTATAAAAACATGGACGCCATTTGGTATTTTTTCTACAAACTTTTCTTCATGCACTTTCTTTTGAAATAAATGTTTCGAAGTATAGAAGTTATGCCACCAAAAAGAGCTAGAGTTTCAGCAGAATGCGCAGATGCGAATATTATGCGATTTGTGGAACGTTATTACAATAATGACAGTGTCATAGTGATAATGGTGAAATCAGTGATGTTGAAAATGATTTGGATTGTTTATATGAGGAGACAGGTCAGTTTCAATTGTAATGTCTTTTCATATGGTACATAAATGCCAGCTTGTAAAGGAAAATAGTGGTGTTTATGGACATCTGAGGTCTGCCATAACATAAAAGTATGTATTTTGAATGTAAAAAAGACCAAAAAAATATTACATCCAAAATGTTTTTTATCTCTTTACAAAAATAACCTAAATGGGTAAAATATTAGCAATATTCGCCATTTTTTTGATAGGCAGTCGTATTCAATGGGGCCAAAACACAGCATTTTGGATGTGAATTTAAATGTTTTGTTATTTTTAGGTTAAAAAAAGATAAAACTTGCTAAAAATGAAACTTACAGGATAATGGCAATTAATCGACAGGCTTTCTGAGGGGTGCGCCCTATCGGCGCAACCCCGGTCATATGAACATGAACGCAAGCCCGGTACAAATAGGGTTAAAGTGCTACTGCAACGAATTTTTGGACCTATTTTTTAGCTTAGATAAAAATTCAGTCTTCTAAAGAAGCATTTATGTACTATTTAAAGCACGCGTAGGAGTGTTTTATCAGATACACACTGAAACTGCCTGTATTTAGCCGCAGTATTTATAATAATAAAATAGACGCTCTCTGACCAAAAATATATATTTATAAGCTTTCGGCTACCAATCTGTAGCCTTCAACGGGTATGAGTGTATTGAATATGAAACTATAGTCTATTATTGTATATACAGAAAGATTAGCATAATTGCATATGAAATATGAGTGTGTATTGTCAACTATGACTGCTTTTTTATAAGAACAGTATATTGTCCGGGAAGTGGACATGAATTGTTGTCAGCATCAGTTGTTAAGGCTGTTTGCCATGACTCTAAAGCTTTCCGGGTCCTAAAATTTCCCTTATCGATAACCTCCGCGTTTTCAAAGTCAATCCTGTGGTCATAAGTCCGTGCATGTTTTGCTACATTAGATCCAGTCTTGTGATTCTTTACATTTCTTACCTGTTCCGATTTTCTTGTCTTCAGCAACCTACCGGTTTCTCCTATATAGCTCCATGGACAACTTTGACACGGTGTACGATAAACCACGTTTGTCTGATTTTCGGATGAAGGTCGGTGTTTTGCGGATGGAAATTCTTGCTGGAGGGTTTTCATTGGCTTATTGCAAACTTCTACGTCGTGCTTTTGTAGTAACCTTGCAAGAGGTTCCGTGAGGCCTTTGATGTAGGGCAAAACTGCGTATCCGGTGGGTTGTGTTTTTCCTTCAACCGATTCAAAAAACGTTCTGACTAATTCTTCAGGAGATGGAGTTGGTGCATTTCTTTGTTGTTGAGTGATTCTCATAACCAAGTTTTTGGGATAGCCGTTGAGTGTGAGAGCTTCACAAACGTGATTTAATTCCTGGATTTTGCATGATGTCTTGCTTGGTAAATGTAAAGACCTATTAATTAAAGTTTTGGCTGCACTAATCTTATGTTTTTCGTCATGGTGTGATGAAAAATCTAAATAGCGGTCAGTGTGTGTAGGTTTACGGTAAACCGTGGTTGAAATTGAGCCGTTGTTGCGAGAAACTAAAGTGTCAAGAAATGCAAGTTGTCCGTCTTTTTCGTGCTCAATTGTAAATTTGATGTGAGAGTCAATAGAATTGAGAGTGTCGTGAAAACTATTAATAGTAGATTTTTTCATGATAGCAAAACTATCGTCAACGAATCTTTTCCAAACCCTAGGTGGTGTTGTTGCCTGTTGGATAGCTTGTTCTTCTATTACTTCCATATTATAGGTTAGCAACAATTGCACTAACTGGACTGCCCATAGCACATCCGTGTATTTGTTTGTACGTGGTGTCGTTGTAAATGAAAAAACTATGAGATAAAACAAATTCTAAAAGTCGAATTATGTCATTAATGTCTAGTTTTGTTCTGCGCGTTAGTGTATGGTCGTTAACTAACTTCGTCTTAATGTATGCGCAAGCTTTGTCAACAGGAATAGCTGTAAAAAGTGAGACAACATCAAAGGAAACCATAGCCTCGTCATCAGAAATGTTTGAGTTTAAAATTTCGTTTCTAAATTGAGTAGAGTTTGTGACGGAAAACCCGTTGTGATTTTGGAGAGGAGAAAGAATATCAGATAAGAATTTGGAAGTGTTATATAATGCGGAGTTTCTGCATGACACTATGGGTCGAAGAGGGTGGCCGTCTTTGTGGTGTTTAATAATAGACTATAATGTTTACAATAATAGACTATAGTTTCATATTCAATACACTCATACCCGTTGAAGGCTACAGATTGGTAGCCGAAAGCTTATAATAAATATATATTTTTGGTCAGAGAGCGTCTATTTTATTATTATGTTTCATCCTGGCCGCGCATCTGCCTCTATTTTTTCGCAGTATTTATGTAAATTTACGGAAATATTATGTAAATTTCGTCTCTTATTATTATATGCGTACCCGCCGATAATATAGCATTTATAGCATGGTGCCGACAGACGCACAATCGAATACAGTCTACAACAGATATAACCGTATATCTAGTTAAAATAGAATATGCGGGATGTAAGATTCCGCACCAAAATTTCGTGCGAGGATTAAGAAGCTTTTGTTGTTTACAACGCTCAAGAAGTCTTTAATAGAACGCTTCGGTACACCGTCTATTCGCTTCTTTAAATCAGCTTCAATATCTCTAAAGCAGCCTTTACGATTGGCTTCGATTGAACCTTTGCGGTCAGACAATTCCGTGCACTATACTAACAAATATACGGTATGATCGATCAAAAAATCCAGCCAATGGGAATTCAGGATTTTTTTAATTAGTCAATCGGACAGCCTGAACCCAGCGGGCAAAATGACGTTTATCCAACGTTGAATCAACGTTGGAAATGACCTTCCAGACGTTGGATAGACGTTGAAAAAGGGTTGACTATGCAAATTGGATCGACGTTACTGTTTCGACGTTGAAACAACGTTGAAATTAGGTTGCCAATCTCGTCAACCATAATTCAACGTTGAATCCACGTTAAAACAACGTTGAGATTGGTTCAAAAATCGACGTCGTACATTTAACCATGAATGAACGTTAATTCAACGTCTGTTGGCTGCTGTTGAACCAATGTTTGTAAAACAACGTCAGAGCAACGTAGATATTAGGTTGTCGACGTCGCAACCTTTTTTCTACCAAATTTCAACGTTGAAACAACGTCGTGTGCCCGGTGGGTGTATTCGAGCCCCTGATCGCTTCATCGATCAGAACTCCCCACCGATCGCGCAAAAATCGAGATATGGCATCAAATGGCTGGAATCTGACTCAGAGCGTGCAAAACTCATGCGCAGGATAGAAATTTTTAAATTCGAAGTTACGGTTTTAACGTACATATGGTTTAAACGTACACAAAAAAACTGTCTATAGAACATCAAAGAAGTTTTTTGATTTTCCAAATATTTCTTGAGCTGTAACCTGTTAAAAAAGACGATTTGTAGCTAGTGCCAGTCTTTGCACCTATTTTTTTTTATCTATTTTCTGCGATTTCGAAACTGATGAACTTAAAAATGACTTGGCAAATTTAAAACTGCTCTGATGTTCTATAGACAGTTTTTCGTGTACTTTTCAACCATACAACTTATTTTTTCTGCGAGCTACCTTGGAATTTTGAAATTTCTATCAGTAATAGAAATTTATATTCAAATATCACAAATTCAAAATTTTTGACTTTGGCATTAATTTCACAGATGCCTCTATACCTGATATTCATACTTGTGTCAAAGTCTACACATACTGCATGTCAATATAGTGCTTTCTTCACTAACTGCACAATTATTACAAAATTGTGCGCTTATCCGACCCACTAAGGTAAAATTTAAAATATTTTAACAATTCAGGGCTTGCAATTAATCACGTCATAATTTGTTGCCATGACAACACAAGTGTCAATATAAACATGAGCAAGTCATGCACATGTACACCAAATGGTTTAGGATATATTGATCGCGGGCACTTACTTCCACTAGGGTTAAAATAAAACTTGCTACTCAAAATTATGAAATAAAATTATAGCAACGATGTTAAGTCATTACAGCAACGATGTTATGTCATTACAGCAACGATGTTATGTCAATGTGCTGGAAAGAAAATCCTGAAGATCGACCAAATTTTCGAAGTTTAAAGGACATACTCTACGAAATACTTGATTGGAAAGAAATCCCACAGGTATGTATGTAAGCGTTACAACATATCATATATTGTAGTCATTCTAACTAGTCAGACTGAAAAATGGTACAAACTGAAGCATCTAATATTGCAAATACTCGAAATACATGCATGCAACAACCCCTTGCCCTTATTTTCCAAACATTGTTTCAACATGAAGTATTCTTATTTACGCCAACACTGAATGCAGGCTCGCGGCGTTGCTCGCTTCATGTTAGCCATGGCAACACGACAACTGTTCTTTAAATTTTTTTTTACAAAAAGCAAAAAGAAATTAATGTTTTACACTTTGCCCATAGAAATGTCATCACTGAGAGTATAATATTTCGCCGAATTTTCCGAGAGGAGGGTCTATAAATGATATATTATACCGAAAATTAAAAGCCTCCAAGTTGAGAATGTAAAACTTGACAGATACCTTCGTGAATATGATGTTTTATTTTCGGATTAATGCAAGTATCGTCGCTTTTCTTTCGTATAACATATCATTTGGAATAATAATGACAACATTTTTTTAAAAATTGCCTCAAAATTAAAAAAACCCCAGTTTTTTTAACGTTTAAAATTTAATTATTCATCGTTAATTTTTCTTAACTCCTTACTATTATTTATATATATATATATATATATATATATATATATATATATATATATATATATATATATATATATATATATATATATATATATATATATAATGTATATAATTATGTATAGTTTGTGGCACGTGAGCATAAAATTAGTCGCGATATCTCGCCTTACGTCATCAAATAACGAGCCTGCGTTCCTTTTGACAATGCTCCACCAAATATTTCCCCGCGGAAAATGGGTATGAATATTATTCGCGTAAACCACGCGAAACAACATGCATGACAACAAGAAGGCCGACTAAATAATAGTAAGGAATTATGAACAATTAATGATGAATAATTAAATTTTAAACGTTAAAAAACCTGGGGTTATTTCATTTTGAGGAAATTATTTTTTTTTATTTATTTATTTATTTATATATATATATATATATATATATATATATATATATATATATATATATATATAT